ACTAGAACATAACAATTCCATCTTGGTTGAAGATAGGCTCTATATTCAGCAGGTTTAAAGTGAGGTCTGTTCCTTGAGCTCAGGGGACTTCAGCCATGGACCAGCCTGAAATTTAACATTATATCTGCTGTTATCAAAACTGGGAGGTAAAAAAGAAGATACGGAAATTTAAACTATTTCAGAACAGCTCTTTGTCAGTGGTTTTCTGTGGAGTCTTTGACTTTTTTATTCTTTTCTCTCGGGGCTTCCCAGACATTTCAGGTAGGAAGAGAGTCTTTCAGCTCCCAGGAACAGCAGAGAAGAGAGAGGACATTTTGCTCCGAGAGGCAGCAACAAGGCTTATGTGAACCTTCATACAAGGGGGGTCATTGGAATGATTTTAATGCTGTCCCTAGGTTTAATTTTAAAGTTATATCAGAAGACTTTAAAATGATAAATATCCATAGTTTTCTCCTTGTCATGAAGTTAAGACTGTCTCCAAGAGAAAGTTGTTTTTCCAGTGGTTATCAAGTCAGATTCGTCATTGATGTAGTCCCCTCAGCTTCAACGATATTGAATTTAAACTTCTTTATCATGAGCCTCATATGAAATTCACATAAAAATGCGTATCGTACTTCAGATAGAATCAGGACTATTTTTTGTGATATGTTTCATAAGGACACTGCAAGGTGGATCCTGCTGTTCGGAGTTTCCAGTTTGAAGAAGAGTTTCATCTCACTATTACACAAAGCAACTTGAGACAGAGGTTGACCATGTGGCTTTTTATATGCAGCCACTGTGGTTTGGCTGCGGTTTGGGTTGCTACGGAGCTGCATGGCTGTGCTGGCACCGCTCACAGCCTGGGGTAAAATGCCTTGGTCCTCGGCTGGACTCCTTTGCTCTGGGTGAGAAGATGGTTAATTGGGACTGCATAGCCACCGCTCATAGGGCAAAGTTGATTCATGCCTACACCAAAAGACCACACAGACCCTAAGGGGAAAACATCTAGCTTCAGCCACTTAATAGGCAGCTGTCTCAGCTAAGCTAGTTTTTGGCCTCTTTCTGTTGTCTGCAGTCAGTGGAGAGATGGAAGTACGCTAAGAGGTTAATTCCCTCCCACTTCCACCTTAAGACTGGATAATCACCATCTAGAAGGTCTCTCTCCGTAGACTACAAAGGAACCTTCATTTAGCTGAGTGAAGGTAAATAGGTAAGTTTTAGCCATCTAAGGTTAAATAAATCTGGACTATACGCTACTCAGCCACTTTACGTTTCCTCAAAAGTCAGTTTCAAGGGTTGTAGGTCCCCAAAGGGTCACCCATCCCATCAGAAAGGAGGCAATTAGCTGAAGAAGATGAAGCGTGCTTCTGATTATACTATAAAGAGGGCACAAGTGACTAGCTAAGACCAGATGCAAAGTCTAACACTTAACCAATTAACATTATCTGAGATAAATCCCAGTTTTCATTTCAGACAGCGAAGGTTAGCAAAGACGATTTTCAGTCTGCAGGTTGCAGTAGTCATGGGAAGGGAAGGCATAGCTTGTGCTCCTCGTGAGGTGCCTCGGTTACGGGTCAGTCCTTCTTGGCTTTTTTTCACTCTGGCCCACACAAAAAACTTGTATTTTAAAACTATGTTTCATTCATTTATTTATAACATGCTAAGAAGCAGGTAAATTAGCCCACACGGAGCTGCATCTTGCTGCTTGAAGTGTCCAAGCTACCTCTTTCAAAGCAAGCTTGGGTATCGCTACCTCGCTGCAGTGGAGACATACCGTCAGTGCCAGAGGAGAACCCCACTGGGCAGTTTCACACTCAAGTCACGTTGGTTTCCATGGGCAGATTTTACCCAGCAGGAGTTCCTGGCTGTATTGAGGTTTACAAGTGTATGCAAAGGATTTGCATACCCCGGCCTTTATCACATTTAATCTTTTGGTAATTCTTTTCTTTGCTTTTCTAAATTTTTCAGTTCATATATGCTTTTCCAGACAGGATCCAAGCTCTCATTGGTGGTGAACTCTTTTCTATTTCCATTACTCACCTATTTTAGTAACCTGAGGGAATTACTTGACTCTTTCCTTCTCTGTCTTTCTGTTCCAATGTCAGCTCGTCAGGCTAAGGATGCTTTCTAGCACTATGATCTTGCAGTGTTTTTAAATGAGGTTATTTTTCAGCTGTGCATGGTACTACCACAGCATAAAAAATAGACCTCTGCTATCACTGAATTTCATACAACTCACTGCAAAATATTTATTTCACTTTTTTCATTTATTTTCTGCAGTATAAGGATTTTCTCACATTCTTTTTTTTTTTTTTTTAGGTTTTTTGCTATTCTATTAATATCTCACTGTTTGGAAGACTCAGTTCTCAGTCCTCAGTTTGGAACTGAGGCTTAAGTAGTAAGAAATAACAAAGCTTTCCCTATTTCTACCAAAAGTATTTAATTTAAGGGACCAAGGCTATCAGGTGGTTCTCAGAAGATCTCATTATCCACTTTGATTGTTTCTAACCCCTCTTGGAAACAAATGTCTCATTACCTTGAATATTTACATATCCTTTACTTTCATATGGAGTACCATACATCCATGAACTATAAACCTATTATTAAACATCTTCTGTTTTAAAAGATAAATACTGCTCCTACTGGGTGGACAGACACTATCTATTATGGACAATCAAATCTCTTAGTGCTCAATTTGATCCATATTTCCATCTTCAGTATACTGACTGCATCATTAAACTTTTCAAATCATATATTTTGAATCTTTTACAGATGTTTTAGTGAATCCTAATATTCATACAAAGAGATCGTCATCAGTAAAGCAATTAACCTAGGGGAAGAGTGAAAGAAAGGAGAACAGAGAAATGCAAAGGATTTTTTTTTTTTATCCCCCCATCTCTTGCAGTGATTGAATGAGCATTTTTGCAGTAATATTTGATTCTGTTATGACTGGCAAAGCTGAGGGATTCTTAAGTATTAGGATCACGATTTTTGTTATTTTATTTTAGCAATCTGACGCTGCAGCCTTTAATTTGAAAGGATGATGATCATGAGCTTATCATATGCCATCAATATAATCAGTGCTGTTTGACATTGACCCAGCACTTCAAACACTGTGCCACTCAGAACTGTCCTTGGTTCCCCATCCACCATGTGTGCTAGTATCTGGTTTGTATTCTATGAGAAAACATCAGGCTTGGTTCTGTGTCATTGAAGCTGATGGAGAAAGTACACAAAGCTCAGTCCTGTGAACATATATTCTCCAGGGATGGAAATCTTTTACCATCACCAAAGTTAATAAAGCCCCCACTTTTTCTAGCGGTTGAGCACCTGGCTGTTATTATGTTGTACTTGTCCCAGTCTGAAAATGGCATTCTGAAGAATTATCCGCTTTTACTGAAGATCTTATTTTCTCTGGCACCGACTCAAAGAGGGAGAAAGAGAAAGAATATCAGCATAAAGCCACTTATGAAAGCATGGAGCTTGCTGCTTTTAACAGTTGATAAGATTATGTGCTTGATCTCAGCATCAAATGCAAAGCAGCAGTGGAGATATTTAGATTTAGTATCTCTTTCTTTTCCTACTGAGTTAGAAAATGATTCTCATTTAAGAGTCCTTAGCTAAGTCACTTTGTGGACGTTATTGGGAAACTTGAGGGATTGCTCTGAGTTTTTTACTACACTGGTAAAGCCTTCTAGGTTTATGAGCTAGTAACATGGTGACTTCTGGTTTGCAGAATGGCAGGAGGGATCACACGTAAAAAGCTGCTTCTTGGAAATCAGTTAGAGTTTGTCATGTTTTTGACATCAGTGCTCAGAAATAAGCAGAAAAAGGCCTCGTGCACTTTATTTACAGTAGCAGACGGAAACTAACTTTTTCCTATATCCTAAGAGGAAAAAACTGCCCTCGCCAGGTCCATTATCTCCTGCTTCTGCATGCTTCTGGTTCTGGAAGTGTTTTGCCTCCGTATTACATGGGGAACGGACAAGCCCCATTCACCTGCATGCTTTGTTTCCCCACAAGAATAAAACCCCCATGCATGGGCTAGAAGGGAAGAGTGGTATGCTAGTACTTCCTGACCTGAAGAGCTGAGAGCCAACATAGAGTCTAATCTATACAACAGCGAATGCAAATTGGAACCAGAAAACATCAAATTGGAAATAAAAGCCACAGTTTTGTAATAGGAGACTGGTTCTCTCCCACATCAAATATTGAGGTCAAGGCTTGCTATCTGAAGCATAGTCTATGAAACAGTTGTTAAGGGCCTGATGTAGCATATTCAAGATTAGATTCTGTCTTTAGTTTATGCAAGAAAAGATTAAAGGTTGACATTACCCTTTTGAAGTTATGAGTTTGTATTCTTTAGAGTGAAGACTGCAGTAAGTGTAGTGAAAGATATTATGCTGTTTCTGTTGCTAATGGACAGCTATATGTTCAACATTTTTCCAAGAAATTAAACATGATGGAAAATAAGAGCTTCTCTCAAACATCGGTAAAGTTGGCTCTAGGATAAAAGAGAATCTCTTCTTGTGTTTCCATTCATCTTCTTGGGTCAAATTCCAAAATGTGCCATTATCCTACCTTTGAGAAGAATTAGAGTCATCAGAAATTCACAGAACTTAAATCAAATATGTGATCCATAAATAAAATATCTAAAGTTTTGACCCAGCACTACTGAATTTCATGCTCAAGGGAAAATTAATTTCCAATTTATATTGGAGTGATTTAACTATGACTCTGTAATGTCAGTTTCTGCCAGAGGAGAGTTTGACCATTGCTGTACTGTGTAACTAGTTATTTTTTATGCCATTACTATTAATCTGTGTGTATGTGTGTATGTGTATGTGTGTTTTAATTTCAGGGAAGTTTATCAGAAAATGATACCATTAATTATTTTAAATAAGCACACATTTATGAATAAAAGGAAGAGCCAACTATAAAGCACTACAGCAATGTGAAAAAAAAAAAAAAAGAACTAGATTTACATCACAATTCTATTTTTTTCTCCCTGTCTTCTATAGGTTGCCCAGGAATGTGGGACAACATCACATGCTGGAAACCTGCAAGTGTGGGTGAAATCGTCTTTGTCAAGTGCCCTGCGCTGTTCAGATTTATCATCTCCGAAGACGGTAAAGACCTTTCTCTTCTGTTCCTTGCATCCACCTGGTACATAGTTACAAACACCTTCCTGCTGCACGGCCTGCATGAATATTCAACCTGTCTGAGGTACCCACTATAACAGGAAAATCAAAAACTCTACAGTGGTCTGGGGCTAGTTGAACTTCAATTTAAAAAAAACATAGCAGAAAACCACGATGTTTGTGGGTATGTCTGAGTGTAGGGGAAAAAGTGTGAAGAAAACCTTCACAGGCTGAATAACATAAAACAAGTCTACCAAGCCTAATTGTTAAAGGAAATGTTCTTCCCTTGGGTCTCGACTGAAGTCAGTAAGAACTAAGACTGTGTGAGGGTCTTGGATAGATAATCAATGCAATTCAAACCTGTTTTATAAAGAAAGCATCAGATCTTGATGCTAAAACTCAAGGCTTGGTTCTGTTCATGCCCAAGGTGAATATAGGCATGAGATGGCCAATGTGAGGAACTTCTCTGTTGAGGGGCCTGGAGAAAAGTCAGCGGCAATCACAGAGGGATGCAGAAACTCCATCGTGGCTTTTTGTGGTCCATAGCAATGAGAAACCAGCATCCTAACACCCCTTGTAGCTGGCACTATAAGCCGCGCTGAGCAAAGAAAAGTTTGCAAAGTTGCCCAGGGAGCAATATGGTCAAATAGATCTACTTCCAGCATGCATCACTGCCTAACAGCGTTGTCCCTTGTCTTGCAAAACATACTGCATATGGTCAGCTACGCTGGCTGGCTTGTTCTCCCCTTTCTCTCTTTTCCCAGCTAATTCAGGCTTGCACTATAGGTCCTATGCACTTGCCACATTGGGAAACCAATCCTTATCAGACGCCTGGCTTCAAACCTTCTGCTCCACTGTCCTTGCTCTCAAACCAGATGTTATTAAAAACAGCCTACATTGGTAGTAATATTACTAAATATTTGACCTACTTGCTAATGCTACCTTTTTATGGGAAGTGTCTCTATGCAAACTACTGTTTGCATGATATCAGAAAGCCCTTGCCCTTTACTCATTTTTTTTCCTCTGAAATCAAGTGGGAATTTGCCAGGTAAAAATGAGAGGATGTGGACAAGAGGAAATAATTACCAAGTTATTCACAGCCTCAATGTAGATTGATTAAACGACCTCCTGAAGTCCCTTAGTTTGTTCATGATTCCATGAAATGAGCTTCCCAGGTGAATGCGTGAGATGGGCTAACTTCTCCTGTCAGCATTAGTCAGCTAACCACGAGCCTGTGGGGATAAATAACACAGTTTTGTCCAGCTTCAATCAGCACCCGCTCAGGCTAGCGTGGATCACCTAAATAGCCCTTTCCACTGAGGAGGAAGCTCACTAGCTTCCACTTGGGGTCCTTTTTTCCCAAATATTGTTTTGCGAGTGAATTTTTCGTTGACGATCTCGAATCACAAAGTCCACCTCAACGTTTCTCAGCTTTGCCACACACCGAGCACAATGTGCACGAGTCGGTAAGAATTTCATACACAGCTCCAGGTGTGCTGAAATCCTCACTTTCAAGTGCACCCATTTTAACTGACCCAGACACTGAGGCCAGCAGCAATGCTCTTGCGAAACAGAAAGGAACTTACGGGTGATCATTACCTCGCCTAGATTTACCCTTAAAAAACACAAACGTGCTCCCTAAACTAGTCCTCTAGACTCCATCTGTAGTCAATGAAGAGAGACTAAGAGAAAAAGACCCACAGAAGGCAATTAATGTTAGTGCAAAAGGCTGGAGGTGAATCATCCTTTAGAGAGACCTCTTTCTTTTCCAGTAAATACTAAGGACAGTGGGTTTAAATTAGACACCTGATTTTTGAAGGAGAAAAATGAGTCCCTCCTTTAGTTATTAGATATAAAAATATAATTACTAATGTAATTATATGTGCTTTAATTATAGCCGCTATAATTAAACATAGTCATCACTGCTGTGATATGGTTTAGCATTGACTCAGTGGGAGGAATGACACTTATTGCACCGTCCATGTTTAGTAATAAATAGAAAAAAGCAACAAGCCAGTGTCCGGTGGGGTTTGTGTCCATCATGGACAAGGAAATATTCTTCCCTTCTCTCTTTTTTTTTTTTCTTTAGGGGGGAGAGACAGGGAATTCTCCAAGACTTTGCTGCCGGTTTTCACTGGCCGCTTGTCGTTCAGCCTGCTTGACGAACCCGTTCAGGCGGCCCTTTGTGCAGCAAATCCACCAAATCCAAAGTTTTGACATCCAGTAATCAGTGATGCTCGTAGTCTGCAGGCAGAATACTTTTATGTTATTTACCGTGCATCAGCAGATGGCTGATTTATCGTTATCTTCTGATAAAATTACAGGAGCCCTGCTTCTCAACCCAGGGCCTGTCAGCATTTCCATTAGGAGCCCTCCTTTTTGCTGGCTTGTTTTGCTGCTTCCCTTAAATACCCTCAAGCTAAAGCTTGGTAACACAGGCAGTACTTTTCTCTCCCTTTCTCTCCCTTTCTTTCCCTCTGTGTCTCTCCCTGCCTTTTTCAATGTGGAGGCAACGCTCAGAGATATTGCTAGCTGGATAATTTGGAGAATGCTGCCATGTACATCTACAGCCTGCCAAAAAACTTCAGCCACAGACCTCTTAACTGTTCTTTATTTCAAAGGATGTCACCGACTTAGTCCTGCTTCTATTTATATCACACATAAATATGGTGCTTTCTCACTTTTAGTGATGACATTTCTTTTCCACGGTGCCATCATTTCTGAAATAATTAAAGCTGGGAGGGCTCTTGAGAAACCATCCATTCCACCTCCCTCCTCAAAGACCAGACTAACTCAATGTGATCTATTCCTGTGCTTAGCCAATCCTTCAGCCCGAAAGACTGTATTGCTCTTTACTTAAATTATATTTGCATTTTAGAAAAATAAAAATGTTTCTTTATATAAAAATGAAGTGCTCTACCTTAACTACAGCTATGTAAATTAAAGGGCTGAAGTCCATAGAGTTTATAAATGATTTGCCCAGAATTTCCAGTCTTATTCACATATTTTACTTCACATGTGGCCTCTAGCACGGTGATAGTGTGGCCTCAAGGGAGGAGCAACCAATCCAGTGCAAATACATGTACTGCTTTCCTTCTCTTCTTCCACTCTTCTTCCTTCTCTTCTTTAGCTGTCACGAAAAAAGTGACAGCTGTTACCACTTGTAGTGCTGGGTTTGAGGGGTTTTTTGGACATCTGTTCAGTAGGAACGAAACCAAGATTCATAATTCATTAGATAAACAAATAAACGTTTAATCTGGAGTAGTTTGAAATCTCTACAGACCCAGGCTGGGTTTGCACTAGTGACCCCAAGGTGGAAATATCTACATCCACAATCACTCTCCTGAGTGAATTAGAATGAGTTTTCAGTAGCATTGCTGCTAATTTTAATTAAACAAGTATATTTGCTTTAATGATGACTTAATGAAAAAAGTCACATGTTACGAAGGTTCCTTAAATAAAGGTTTATTAAATAACTAAAATTTTTCTAAGATACGGTTAATCACATATTTTAGGTTGTTACAGTCTTTTCTCATTGGTGCTATATTTCCAGAATATGTGAATAGGCTAGGCATTGACACTAATATCTATTAATAGCTTATTCACTCTATATAAAACCAACTTTTCATATGTCCTACAATCATTTTTACAAACAGCAGTAATAACTTTAATTTATATTTTAAAATAGTTCATCTCATGCAATACAGAACAACCTGTAGATATAGCTGTTTGGATAACAAGCAGGCAAATCATATAGGGATGGGTTTATCTTAAAGATAACTCGCTTGGCTTTAGATATCTTAAAGCTGTAGGTTTAAGTTTGAACTGATTACACACGACCTTGTTGTCCCACGAATGGAAAGAAACAGGTACTTGCAGAGGACAGGTCATCTAACCTAGCTCTGAACTATGGTGAAGCATGGTAAACTGTGGGGCTGCAGCGCAGTATGATGCAACTAGACCTACAGATGGTCCCAGCACAGTGACCTGCAATCCCAGATGGAAAATTTAATTTGCTTCGTTATTTTTCCCTTTTTTTCAGGCAGTAGTGATACTGCCTGGGAAAGGAGATCTGCAGATGCCGAGACTGTGCTCTTCTTTCTTTGTCCTGCACAGCTGAGATATTCTGGAGCGATCAAATCTATGAAGCTAGATTACTCAAATGTGCCATTGAAGGAAATGCAATAGCCAGATCAGAAATGAGCATTTTTTTTTGGCTTTTGTTTTACAGTAAAAACTAATACAGATGATAACAGGCAGTTTCCAAGCATTGCCATATGCTCCACGTTGAGAAACTGCCTTTATTCACAAATCTAAATGATAAACATGATTAGCTCTCACTGAATCTTCCAGCTATTCTGCATGTTTATCCAGTGCTCAGTCAAGGAGATTACCTGCTATATTCAAATGAGCAAAAACAGAGAAAGCATATATAGTTTTACTTTTAGTTATAGTTTTTACTGAACATATACAGCATATCCTGTGTTGGTGCCAGGATTAAGATGTCTAATTAAAATTCAGTAGAATAAAGAATGCATCCAGGTTTTACAAAATTTTATAAAGAGGGAATGATATCCTATCATCACATTTTTTGAGAGTTTGCCTTGCTGCTGCTCTGGCAGTTCATGTATGACTTCTGTGCTCATTCACCAAGCTTTATTGTCCCACAGAACAAGAAACTGGAAATACTCTGTTACCGAACCCATTAAAATCACTGGGAGACACTCGAGTACCTTGTTGCAAGAACATCAAACCTCATATATTTTGCATTAAAGAGATCACTGGTGGACGATGGGATTCATGAATTCAGGGTTAATTGGATTTGAGAAGCCATCCATGGCTTTTTTCTCCCTTCTGAGTTTGGATGTTATTCCTGATCAAACTAAATAGGATGACAAGAGATGGGTTAATGAGAGGGTAAGCTGTGTTAGATGTATGCATGTGCAATCCCCTTCTGTGTCACTTGTGGGGAAATAGTCACGGAAAGT